TAGAAAATATCGCGTGTTAGATTGCTCGCCACTTGCTCTTGGCACGGCTATATCGCGATTGGCTATTGTATTATATGTTCGTAATTGTTGGGGAAGACGCACTGTAGCTATACTTTTGGCTGTCGTTAATGTATCGTGACTTATTGACGAATGACAAAGTTCAAAATGCAAATCTGATCATGCGGATCATGATTCATTTCATACTTTCTGCGTAGGATCTAGAAAACATCGAAGCTGTCAGCTGCAGATAATTTGCGGTTATCAACCGGAGCTTAGTGAACAGGGACCTGGATACTAGAGAAGTGGACCGCGCTGGCCGTCTTTCCGTGCCTGGCAACATAGCGGTCGGCTGGTTCGTCAGGACCGGAGCGGTAATGGCAGAACCAGCGTGTGACCCTGATTACCGGTGACGGCTGGAGCTCCAGCGGTCCTCAGACTGTGGGCTGTTTGTCGCGCGTGGCTGATATGTCTGCTCCAGAGGTGATTCTGTGGATACAGCCGCGCCACTCGGTTTCTCAGCCGAACAAAGGCTGCCGTCCGCGTGACGCTGCTCGCACGTGTGTCTGAGAGCTTTCAGTGTCAGCCGATGACCGCCGAATTGCTCGTTGTCACGCTGCCGCCGAAGATGTTATGTGTTGATTTGTTAGCGTTCAGCGATAGTCGTGCTTTTTGCTGAGCATGCGGTTATTTGGACTTCCCAATCAGGGAGAATCTACGCTAGGCGTGTATAATTGCCAGAGATCTGGATCGATCGCCCTTGGCCTTCCCTGTGCGCCGCAAGGTGTTTATCCAGTTGACTTTTGTCGGCGCGCCCTCTTCCTCCGCCCAGCCCTCTGGTTTGCGCGCCGCATTTCGGCCCGTACAGGGTGACCTCGATCCCAGAGGGGTCAGCCGTGTGCCGGCAGGGCTGCCTGCGCCCCGGCGATGACTTGGCCTCGTCTCTCCTGGCATGAGCTGGTTCCGTGTGCCCCGGAGGCGCGGCTCCCATGCTTCGATGGCAGACACCGCTGTTAGTGGACAGCGACCCGTCTGTCTCGTCACGTTCTTCAGTCGCGGGCGGATTAGCAGCGTGTGAGCTTTTGAAACAGCCTCAATGCCCAGTGTACAGTTGGATGCACAGCTGTTATATAACGGGGCGCGGCCGTCGTTGCGGACCCGTGCGAGGCGATGAGCCACCTGGCGGCCAGACCGCGGTCATCCGGCAGCCGCGGATGTCGCGGGCGGTCTGTAAGCGTGGCGGTTGATCTCTCACCCGGAAGTGCCCAATGTCCTGTTCTGCTCGTGTCGCGATAGCTTTCTGGCACTGGCACAGATTACGTGTCGCGATAGCGTCTAGATGGTAGTGTTATATCACTACATGTAACCGCAACGGCGTGCATAGTACTGGTCCACATCATTCAAGGGAGAGGAAAAATTTCTGTTCAGTTAGAAACTTGTATAATCTTTCTCTTAAAAATGCGTTCCTCAAGCAGTGTTGAATGATTCTGGAGAAGTGAGTGGAGCTGAGTGAGTGGTGGTGAGAGGTAGTGAGTGGATTTTTCTTCTCACGGTCTTGTAAACAATAGATGCGTGTGTACCGTAATCAAGCGGGCACCTGGCGACAGAGTTGTTTTATCAGTTGCACACAAAGAGGGGCGTGGTGTGTTTTTTTTGTGTTAATGCTGAGTTCCAAACTTTTGGGAGAATTTCTGTGGTCAGAAATTTGTACTCTTGCGAAATAGTGCATGTCGTGTGGGCCGTGACAACATTCAGTTGTGACATTTCAGGCCAATGGCAGAGTTTGTGGCGAAGGTTTACCGTTATGCAATCGCCGGCGCGAACTGTCCTAACATGACGTCATCTGACTTGGAGCGCGGTTGCCGCCACCGACCGCAGGTCATTCCGGTCGGGGACAGCTGGCGAACGCTGAAAGCCACTAACCAGCTGCACTATCGGGGCAGAATATGCCTGGATGTGTGCGGTGTAGGCTTGATGATTGATTTCTGTGGAGGAAAGCTGCTTAAGTCGAGGTAAGCGAGCGGGTTTCACTCCGCGGTAGTGATCGCGTTCTTTTTCTTGCTTCTAAATGACAGGAGAGATAACCATCATTAACGCTAGCTGGCTACCATAAGAGGATACTTGAGTTGGGTGATGCGCACCAGCCGGGACCGCACATGGTCTCAGCCGACGAGTCAGCTGGCCTGACAACAACCAGGTGCCGTAGTGGCGCCGCCAGACTGCCCTTACCGCCTGCCACGCACGGACGGTGCCGACGGTGAGCTCGCTGTGGGCCAGATGCCGTAGTGGAGCCGCCAGACTGCCGTTACCGCCGGCGACGCACGGACGGTGCCGACAGTGAGCTCGCTGTGGGCCAGGTGCCGTAGTGGAGCCGCCAGACTGCCGTTACCGCCGGCCTACGCACGGTCGGTCTCGACAGTGAGCTCGCTGTGGCCCCATCAACCGTCCGGCGCCATTCAACGTGAACTGCGTATCGGCAGGATGTGACAAGAGCTGTAGGAATGGAACGGTGCTTCTTAGGTGTTTGCGAGACGTGACATGTGACAAAACAGCTGATTTGCGCTTATGAGACCTGGCGTGTTTGATGCCGATAACAAACTTAAAAAGTCACCGTGTTGATCTAGAGGACAAATAACTAACAAATCATTGGGCAAAAGATTCCACACCATCGACTGGCAGCGCGGCCGCCAAGTCATTAGCCGCCAGTAAGAGAGAATAAACTCTTAATTGGTTGTGTTTCTTGTACAGGTTCACTAATTACGTTCTCCCACTTGCGGCATACTTTTGCAAACTCGATGCTGTGTTCAGAGATCAAGGCAAGGATAACGCTCATATGTAAAAACATCACGAATTGTGCATGGTCATCTCTTCCGGCCGCTACAGGCCGCCGACCTGGTGTCCATGAGGATGAGGAGGAGGTAGGTGGGGGGGAGGGGGGGAGACCCCCTGGCGAGCAGCTCGCCGTCTCGCTGTGACGCCGCCATCAGAGCTGAGGCTCGCGCGCCGCCGCCATGTGGTCACGTCCGCGGGCCCTCGCGCGTCGGCGCCGCCCACTATGAACACGGCGTCGTCGCGGCGCGGCGCAATAAAAACGGCTGCACGTCGCCGTCGGGAGGGGAGGGAGAGAGCACCGGCAGCCGAGTCCCGCGTCACGTGCCTGGGCCCTGGGCAGCCCCCGCCCTGGGGCGGGTGGAGCCGGACCGGAGCCAGAATACACGGGCCCGCTGACGCATGCAGCCGTCTGATTGACCGTGAATTTACGGGCGCCGTCAGCCCGGCGTTTTCCTGTGTTGGCCACGTGTCTGTGGGGCTTCACCGGCGGTCTGTGTTGACTGGGGACGGTCATCCCGTGTCGGCAGTCGGTGGGCAGCTGAGTTGCCGATTTCAGTTACCAGTCGGAGTTGGCAGTCGTACTGACACGGCTGCCGATCGATTCGATGAAAGGTCTGACGTTGGGACGAAACGGATCAGAACGTATGGTGTGAAGGAATGTTCCACTGTTTATCAAGTCAAGTGAGCAGTGTTACGTCTCATGTCACCAATGGAACGTGGTAAAATGACGCCGACGCCACCCGAGTAATTTCTTTTATTTTCTTTGTTGTATATGCGGTGGATTGTTCTTGTTCTCAAATTATTAATTTTGGTCACATTTCACGTCAGATTAAAACGCGTTATCATGAGACAATCACCGTAGATAAGACAGTAGTACTAGCCTGATTCCTTACTTCTTACTCCTCTTATCTATGTGAATTACGTTCCTCGCCAATGCACTTGACATCTTACGTAGGTTTGAAACAAGTACCGGATGCAGTACGTTTGAACTGTCTTTTATCACGGCCATTATGACGACATTGGCAAAAAGCGTGCGTAGGAATAATGGCGTCCCTCGACTTTGCCCAGTGGCGGAACGTAGAACAGACGGCGTCAGTGGGACGTGTTAGATATGTCACGCCAGCGGCCTCGTGTTTGACCTCTTGGCCGGCGGACGGCAGAGCACGCGGCGTCGGCGGGACTCTGGGAGGGTCTCCGCGCCGCCGGACGACAGGGCAGGTGGCATCAGCGAAGCTGAGGGGTGTCTCCTCGGGGGGCGGGAGTCCGTCACCCTGCCGGTCCGACCGTCCTCCGGCTGGCAGGTGCGACCACTGGGCCGGGCCGGCCCGCCGACTCCTATTTCAGTCTGCGGCGGACAAAAAGGGAGCGGTCTCTGACCAGTGACCGGTGACCAGGTGGCCGAGACGGGCCGGCCGGCGGTAATCGATGGCTGCCAACGGCTCCGGAGCGGGCGGGCCGTCCGCGGGCCTGGGACCAGCAGGACGTCTTCTCGGAAGTCATGGTGCGATCGGTGGTAACGCGCGTGCCGTGGCCGCTTGTAAGGGCATCAGACGCGGAGGGGTGGTGCGGGGCTGGTGCGAGATGGATTTAGTAGGTATTGGTGAGGTTATCAATTCTTCCAGGTATCTACTGAAGCCATCAGCGTTGCGACCTCTCTCGCAGTTGGCTAACCTGGTCCAAGGCGCCGCCTGACTGAGCCTCGTGTCAGGGGCCGATCCAAGTCTACGACCTAACGACACGCGCCCACTGTGGCTAATCCATCCCACGGTCGTGAGCCCTGGCCGGTACCTCCATGACCTTTGAATGGGATTCGGACATTCTCACGCGTCATGAGTACCCAGTGTGACCGCGCCATTACTTATTCACGGCGGAAGCGCTGGCACGGCTGCGTTAAGATCAGCCGTGTCCTGACGAGGAAGCAGTCTCGTTTGTTACCAGACTCTCGTGTAATGCAGCTCTCCCCACCGGACTGTCGGGAGCCTTCAGAGAAATAACCCTTGCAAACCTGGAACGGCTGGCGCCGGTCTGTTAGCCCACGCCAGTGGTTGGTGATGTTCACTGCGTCTTCATTTCCGTTGGTTTGCTGGATGGCCCAGCTGCTCACGGAACATCGAGCATGAGGTGTGTATGTGCTGCTTGTTGTTGACTCGCCGCGCGTTTTGTGTCCGCAGAAGCTCCAGGAGCGCTGCCTGAACGGCAATCTTCACATGACGCACCGGGACGCCGTCCTGGGCATGTGACGTCACTGATCACCACTTCGCGCCGCCTGCGAGGCGGTCTTAACGTGACGCACACGGACGCCGTCCTCGGTGTATGACGCCACTGGTCATCACTTGGCGTCGTGTGCGAGGCAATCTTCACGTGACGCACCGAGACGCCGTCCTCGGCGTGTGACGTCACTGATCACCACTTCGCGCCGCCTGCGAGGCGATCTTCACGTGGCGTACCGGGACGCCGTCCTCGATGTGTGACGTCACTGGTCACCGCCCAGCGCCGCCTGCGAGATGACCTCTACGTACTACACTTGATGTGACGGCACTCATCATCGCTCGGGACCACGCAGGGACCATACAGACCGTCGCTTGTGCCCCGGCAGGGTGGTAGTGATAGCTCAACATACTGCCGTAAGCGAACTGTCGTCATATCGGCACTCGTGGCTCAGAAAGGCATCAGTGCTTTGCTGCAAAGACATGATATTTCCTTGCGGGTCTCGGTTGTCAAGTGGTAGCTGCTGGGGCGTTAACATGTCTGCATGGTATATATTCCCTCTGCCGTGGTTATCCGTGTACCGCGTGTGTAACAGGCGCTTCCGACGACCGTACGCATGTGAGCATTATCATCGCGAGAACGACATTCATCCCCATCAGTGTTTTTGCGTGTGCTACCGAAACCGATCCGAATGAAGGGATGCGTCATGACGGGCAGCCTCGAGTGAGAGTTGGTGAGCGGCGCCCGCCACTCGTCAGGGCGCCCCTGGTGCAGGGCCGTGTCGAGCAGCCTCGAGTGAGAGTTGGTGAGCGGCGCCCGCCACTGGTCAGGGCGCCCCTGGTGCGGGGCCGCGTCGAGCCGCGCTGGCCCCCACCTGCGGGGGCAGCAGCCGACGTCCGCACCCGTTGACCAGAACTCATACTTTATCGGCGAAATTGATAGTGGCGCTGTCTGGCGGGGTCGTGTGGGCGGTCGTAAAGCGACGATGCGCGATGCGCCGGCCGGGGGAGGCGGCCAAGGGGCGCCGCGCGCGCCGGCCGGCCAACGGCGTGGGGTAGCAGTGGCGCTCGCCGAGCTGCTACACTGCCGGGTGGCAGGCGCCCGGCTGTCGGCCGCACCAGGCCGGGCCCGGGTGTGCGCGGGCCTCGCTCGGCTGTCGGCGGCACCAGGTCCGGGCCCGGGTGTGCGCGGATCTCCCGCCGGGCCGGGCCCAGGCCTGGCACTGGCGGGGCACAGTAGGGCTCGGTAGGCGGTACTCGGCGTACAGTGTTGCTCCTGGCTGGCTTTGAGCATGTTTTAATGCATCGTTTCTGGTTGAATACATGGCTCTGACGAGTGCCGTGTCGTGCTGCCCTCTGACGTTGTTCGACGGCCGGGCTATGAGAGCCGGTACTGATGGCGGATCGGACGGATGAGGGTCCGGTACTGATGGCGGATCGGACGGATGAGGGTCCGGTACTGATGGCGGATCCGACGGATGAGGGTCCGGTACTGATGGCGGATCTGGCAGCGGGATGGTCCGGGGCCGTGGACAAAGGCCGCGGATTTGCGCTCCGCTCCACTCTCTTTTGCAGATTTCTTTACGGCCCATGACGACCGCGTCGGAAGGTCATCATCTGTCGGTTATGGCGGTTTCCACATGAAATATGCAGATGGCGTTCCGCTGGGTGACCGACGGCCTCATCACCCTGAGTGCCCAAAATCCGCCAGATTGGTTCCATCAAACCACGCCAATGTGTCGGGCCGTGACCAATAATTCGACGAGTTCTCAATGCGGCCACAAAGCTGAACCAGCGGCGAAGTTTCTCATCGGATTACGGTGGGGCGGCGCGGGACTGGCTGCCACGGGTTCTGCCCGCCGCGTGACGGGTCGCCGCGGCTCGCGACGCCCGGCTGCCGTGCAGCTCCGCGCCGTCAGCTCTGAGGGGCCGGTGGGGCTCTCCTCCCTGGCGCCTCCGACGGCGGCGTTCCGGCTCAGTGGGCTCGCGGCGGCTCCGTACCGCCAGCGGACGCAGCTGCTGTGGGACGCGGTCAGACAGCCGGCGCTCTTGTGGCAGGAGGGAGAGTTTCTCAGACGGTGACGGTGAACAGTCGACTTCGCAGTTGGCTGATCCACGATTCCGCCACGCAACCCTTTGCGCTGGAGTGGGGGTGGTGAGCCCTGGCTCACCCACCACCTAACCCCACCGGCGAAAAATGCTGGTAGCTGCTGCCGTTTCAGCTTTATTTGTGCGCAATTGGTTTGCGGCGTTCGCAGTGCTGAAAGCATTCGGGGCCATCACTGGATGGCATTATACAGGGTTCGCAGCCTATATGTCACGTGGTGAGACGCTTCCACTAACCGGTCGAGAAAACCGGCAGATTACCTAATTTCTCCTGGCGACGCAAATTGTTTTTCTCAGCCGTCGGAAAGTGCTTCCAACTAGCAGCAAACAGCTGTTATTCAGATAGGCACGAATGGCTCGGCCGCCCGCCAACGCCGTTAATCTTGGTTGTCTTGCATCGCTCCCAAATATTGTGGCTTCAGCGTGGTTAATTGGCTGTGCCTACCAGGGAACAGTCGCAAGTGTATTGTTTTGCTGGAATAACGCGAAACATCTCATTAAAATGTGTACCAGGACCCACAATTTTAGAACAGAAAACATTTTGGGGTACTTTTGCATACTTTATTCAGATGACTTCAACTCTCTGTGACCAGAATGTTGCTGTGTTTGATAGTATCACTGCGAGTGTTGTCACATCTCAGCGCTTTTGCAAAATCGCTAAACTCTAGGTCAAATGCCTTACGAAAACAGCACGTCGTTCGTTGCATGGTGCGTCAAAACATGTCTGTTAAAGTTGTCCGTGGTACTGGGTTGGTTCGTTCGGTTAACTCGATTAGGACGGGTCTTTGCGACAAACTTTATTTAGCTCAACTGGCGAGGACGTCGATACGAAACGTATACAAACATATGCAACCTAAAGCCTTTATTAACCTAATCGGCCCATTTTTTAAACAAAAGGTAAAACTATATGAATCGGTGATGGAGGTTTTTGACAAAGCTGGTTCCGCCTCTGGATCCAGCCACGGCCCATATTCTCAAGTATCGCCTGGGCACGGCAGAATATGCGCTACACACGGCGTGCGCGCGCACTTGGACTTCAACGTGTGAGAACCGAGCTTGTTGAAAATTACCGTATTGAGTTGAATTTGTAGAATGTTGCGACACATTTTCCCAGTACGTCGGGCGTCTCACTTGTTGCCTGTTGCCGTCCCGCTTCACTCACAACGCTGTAACAACCGTGCGATGTTGACTTCACCATGGATCCGATAGAAGCTAGGACGCGGTATTAACATTGTTAGCATGGCAGCAGTGTTAGATGTGTTGTTTGACATTCCTCTGGGTTGAAATATGTTTGCAAAAGATAACTTTCTGTCTGTTCCGAGAATAAAGAGAAACGGGAAATCGTTTATGTTGGGCGTAATCCAGTTCATGACAATGTTAAATAACGTGTGTTCACATTAAACAAACCCGTCTCGACAGCTTTGCACGTTCCGGCGGTTGGATCACGGCTTCCATAGAAGTACGGAGGGAAAGCTGTAATAGTGACATCCTCACAGATGGAAGCCCATTTTAGCATACGTTGGTGAACTATGAGACGGGCCAGCGCATGACTCTCGGTATGTTTGTTTATCACATATCAGTCCTGCTTGTGTAACCACTAATTTCGTGTCACCAAGGTTACTTGAACATTGGCAAAAACCCGACACACTACTGCAATTCAATCCTACTCTGTGCATGGTTTGTGGTATTCGGTAAAAAAGGAAGTGTCAGCCATAGCAGCGACCATGGATGTGTCTTGCGCCTTTTCGAGAGCAATGGCTTCCCATTGTTTGTCTAGGTCTCCTGTCAGGGGTCCCGAACTGCCAAAAGTGGCCAGAATTCGCTAACTAGCGGCAAAGATACCAGTTTAGATGTATAATTTATTTATTTACATATTATATATATATATATATATATATATATCAAATATCACAAGATTGGGTAGAGGGGTGAAGATCACCAGTTGCGTTGCAACCATTCGCATAATGTGAGCTTTTTTCCAACGCGTCCGAGGTCTTGCATCTGCTAAATTGCAACTAGCTCGCATGCTTTTATTTGGGCTCACCGGGCCGCAACACAGAAATGCAAAGAATACAAAATATGTAGAGGTGTTACATAACGCAAAAGGTTCAGATTCGTCTTACTTTTTCCCTTCCCGGGTATGTCACTGGTGCTCTTTTATTATTACATGTTTATCACTTTTTACATGAACTGTTTCTAACATGGGTCACTTCTTACATATATACCCCAATTCTTGCGTGCTTTGCAAATGGAACATTGGGTTCAGACCACAAGTTATTGTTTAGTATCTCGCTGTAGAGATCATTTCAACGAATTCCGGCATTTTGGCCGGGGGAGAAAGGGGAGGGGCAATTGGCCCGGATGACTAAAGTGAACCTGTGTGATGCTTTATGGGTCATTTTTTCAAGCCACGAGTTTATACGATGTTTTTCAGTGAAGTGGTCGTAATGCATAGCGCTCTGGGGTAGTTTGATGGACAACTTTGAATACTTTGTGTAAGCAGCGAAGGCCTTGATATCCTTTTTTGGTATTAGGAGTCCAGAATGTCATGTTGGCTGTTACCAATGTTCAGCATACCAGAAAGCACTGGTTAAACGACGTTGTCAAGCCAACAATGGTTACATTGTCGATTCTGGACGTTTCAAGCGGTGCATAATATATGAGTGAGCAAGGTTTACTTGTTCACTGCTTACCTTGTTCACTCACGGTCATAAGCACAGGTTGAAACATCGAGCGTGACAAGATAATCAATGTTTGGTTGGTAGCGTCGTTTAACCGGTACCTTCCGTAGGCTTAGCGTTGATAACTGTCCGCATAAGAACTCTCAACTCATAACTCTGAAGATATTACGATTGTAGACAGCAGATTGTTACGGCCCCAGAAACCATGCACTGACAGGTTGGCAGCCATAAATGCTTATGTTCCGTCACGCCCAGGAAGTAAATGCGAGTCGACGGATCTTCACTGTGTTCCAACCCCGTGAACAAAGTGCCAATCAAAACACTAATCGGACTTCCAGCTACTTCTGCGCAACATTATCTAAATTGCACAGACAGGTATATGCGCATTTCGATAGATGGGCTTCGTGCCGCGTAACCAGCTGGAGACGTCACGGAGGGGATGGCGAGCTCGAGGAGCACTCCGCCCCGGTGGGATCGGCCCCGTAACCAGCTGGAGACGTCACGGAGGGGATGGCGAGCTCGAGGAGCACTCCGCCCCGGTGGGATCGGCCCCGTAACCAGCTGGAGACGTCACGGAGGGGATGGAGAGCTCGAGGAGCACTCCGCCCCGGCGGGATCGGCCGTGACTGCGGAGTCGCTGCCCTGGCCTCGGATCAAGAGCCGATTGAGCCACGCCCCCCGAGAATGGTGAGCTGGGTGAGCCGTGCTCACAGAGCATGGCTTCAGCTCCGGTAAGCTACGGAGTCGGCGACGCTGGGCGATGCATGGCAACCAACGAACGGCGTCGGCAGGCAGCTCACAGTGGCACTCACCACCGCTGCCGTCTCGGAGGTGCTGGACAGCGTTGAGCAAAGCGAGCACAGCGTTGAGCTCAGTTGGGAGCATACGGTAGATCAACCATGGTTTGAAGGCTTGGATGCGGTATTGCAGACAACATGTTGGCCGCGAATCCTCCTAGCGAACAATCACTTAACGAGAGTAACGAGGAGCGCGCGACACTGCGCTACATCCGATTTTTGCAGCTTACGCGGACATTTCGACGAGAGGCAAGCTTGTAGAATGCAGACATGTGTTTGGGCCCCAATGCTGATCTTCAGTCATTGTACTGACACATTCACAACTGATTATTTCGTAAAGATCTAACGCTGGATCCTGGTTCCTCCTAACGACTTGCATATAACGGATGCAAATGGTTAGGACGTTCCTCCTGGTTCTAATGGTTCCTCCTGGTTGTTAGTCTCTTGCAAAAGCTTTCTAGCAGTATTCATGATGATGAATAATCATGTAGTCTATTAATATGATTGTTCATCAGTAAGATCATTAGCCTGATTATAAGTGCGATAATTCGTTTTCAGGATCCCGGTGTGAGTGAACTCGCTCATGACCGCTGTGAAATCGTCGAGTGTTCTCACAATATGTTTGTTTTAATGCGCCCTTTATATCGTTTCTCAATCGGCACATCCTCGTTTACTGAAGACCGGCCATTTTCAGCACAGCAGCTCTAATAAGCCTCACAGGTCAGGGACAAGCGTGTCTGGCGTTAGGCGACCAAACCAGGCACAGTCGGCTTGCGACAGTCACTGCGATAGCTGTAGAGCGGCGCGGAGATTTCAAACTCGACGTAACCAGTGCGATCGCCTAAGTACTGGATCCGTTAATGCTGCAAGGTGTGAATACGGCTTTTACAATAGTTCCAGCCCACGTTGGGTCCTTGCTA